TGTGGCTAAAGCCAGCCCAGGCAGAAAAAGTCCTAGAGACTCTTTATCTCCAGTTGGCCAGCAAAAACCCAGGACTAGAAGTGTGGCTCAGCGTCAGCTCTGAGCTCCAGAGTGTCAAGCAAAAGCAGGAGGCCATGAGCTAAGTGCTAGAGGCAGGGGACCACAGAACAACAAGTGATAGTGATGGCAAGGATTCAGAAAAGGAAACCCCAACAACCTCCAATCCATACACTGTGGGGGTGTGGAGCAAGCACGGCAGTCAATAAGCAGGTTCCTCAACAATCTCCCCACAGCCTTTCCTGTGACCCTACCACACCACTACTGGACTTGTATCAGGAGCGTAAATACACACACGAGATAGACACCTGCACACCAACGTTTACTGCAGCCCTGTTCACAACAGCCAAGCAATGGAGTCAGCTGAGGTGCCCAACAAGAGCGACACACAGCAGTCCATACTATCTATTGTAGCCCTAAATTATGGCGTAATAGGCAGCTACAAAGAAAAATAAAATCATGTCATTTACAGGAAAATGGGTAGAACTGGGAGACTCAGATTGAGATCAGACAAGCTCAAAAAAAAAAAGATTATCTTATGATTTTGCTCACAAGTGAAAAGCTAGACCTAACAGACATACATATTCACGGATATGAACATATCTATGTGCACATCTATGGATAAATGTAGAATGAGTCTAAGAACTACTTGGGAGAAGGGAAACGGACAGAAAAAAAGAAAGATACAAGGCATCTATATGTGAAAACAGCATAGAGAACCTCAATGAAGCCAGGAGCTGGGCTCATGCCTGAAATCCTAGCTATTCAGGAGGCTGAGAGCTGAGGGCTGTGGTTTGAAGCCAGCCCAGGCAGTAAAGTCCGTGAGTCTCTTATTTTATCTATTAAAGGGGCTGGGAAGGTGGCTCAGTGGTAGAGGGCTTGCCTTGCAAGCCTGAGGCCCTGGGTTCGATTCCTCAGCACCACATAAGCAAAAAAGAAAAAAGCCAGAAGTGGCGCTGTGGCTCAAGTGGTAGAGTGCTAGCCTTGAGCTGAAGAGCTGAGGGACAGTGCCCAGGCCCAGAGTTCAGGCCCCACAACCAGACCCCCCCCCCCAAAAAAATTATCTATTAAAAATCTGCAAGTGGAGCAATGGCTCAAGCGCAGTACTGGCACACACACAGAACTGCCCGCTCTCTGCATCCACTTCTCACTTTAGTCCATTGATTCCAAGAAGTGTATTTTTCCCACATTTAAGAACCCTAAAAATAATCAGGGTTTAGCTTATCATATTATGCCATAGTTTAAATAGTAGCATTTTTTCTTTCTAAATGGCATGTAAAATAATGGTGCATTTTACAACCCATTGTATTTTCAATTTTGTGGGATATGTAACTGGTTGCAGTCATTATTGCCATTTGGGAGTGACAGACATTTCTTTATTGCTGCTATGTCTTTAGCCTTCAAGGTTCAAATTATCCTTCTCTTGCTGATAAGGTGAGAACCAAACCCCCCCACAAAAACCACCAACAATGTGCAAAACCTATCTCCTTTAACTAGTTACCATCCCAGGCCAGGAGAGTCTCACCCCCGAGCTCAGGAGCCACCATGCCGTCCCCCCTCGACTCCATGGACTCCGGGGAGGACCGCCAGCTCCTCCCCCTGCCCCCCAGACCCGCAGATGTTCAAGTGTCTTCTAGAAAATGGCAGAGCGCCTTGCATTCTACCCATGCATAAGTCTAAATGACACACGTTACTTAACACAATGCAAACCCATAGACACAGCTAAGGTACCATTTTGATTCTGAGCAAGAGCAAGCAAGCCTGTGCAGTGCATGCTTTCCTCTTGAACTATTTTTCAATCCATGGGGGGTAGAAGCTGGGTGCTTAAGGCTTCTACAGCTGCTAAAGCCGCCCGTTAAGTTTCTCGAGCTTTAGCTGCGTGCCTACCACTCCCTTTCCCTTCCGAGCTGCGTCAAGCACCGGGAATGCTCTCCTGGGTGCTCTGGAGTTCCCTTCCACAAGAAGCCAGCTGGTCTTCTACGTGGCCTAGGTCTGGCTGTGGCTCACTAACCTCGGGCCTCTTATCTACCCCAAGGTAGTTCAAAGTTCCCCTCCTCCAGGAAACCTTCTGGCCACGCAGCACCTGCTGTTTTATGCCCTGGAGGTCTGAGGATAAAGTCCCTGCTCTTACCTATGCAGTCCCAGAGAGAATGGAATCGGATTCCTCCAGAGAGCCCTGCTCTCCGATTTGTTGAATATGGAGACATCGTGTCTCTTGTACCTAACAAGACTTTCCTCTGGAACTTGCAATTTCTCTAGTTCCTGATTCTGCTAACTTTGGGCAGTACCAACATACAAATCAGTTCTAGTGTGCTCTTCTGCTACCGTCCTATGGAAGCAAAGACTGAGTACAGCAGTGGGTAATTACGAACAATTTGAAAATTAAGTCTGTTTTCAACAGTGGCTCCACTGTTACATATCCAATCAACTTGAAAATGTTCGTTTCAATGGAAGGGGATGTAAAAAAATCATTGAATTGTTCATTAAAAAGCTGCAGTACGGCCGGGCGGCTCACGCCTGTCATCCTAGCTACTCAGGAGGCTGAGATCTGAGGATGGAGGTTCAAAGCCAGCCTGGGCAAGAAAGTCCGTGAGACTCTGATCTCCCATGAACCACCAGGAAACCGGAAGTGGCGCTGTGGCTCAGGTGGTGGAGCGCCCGCCTTGAGCTGGGGAGCTGCCCAGGCCGAGTTCAAGCCCCACGACTGCAAAGGGGGAAAACCCCACCCTGTGCTACAGAGCACAGAGACGTCAGGCGGCAGTTCATCCGCGAGCTGACCCTCGGTGGCACAAACCATTGCGACGCCAGTTCACGGCCGGAACCCCAGCCGGCCTCGGCCTCTGCGCCGCGCCAGGCCCCGACCTCCTCTCCCGGCGGGAAGGCGGAGAGCGGGCGCGGGGCGCGGGGCGCGGGGCGCGGGCGGGAGCCCAGCACAGCGTGCCCGCACCGTCCGCCGGGTGACGCCGCAGGGCGGCGGGGCCTGGCAACCCGGGCGCGCTCCCCTCGGGCCGGGCCCTGCCCGAGTCTCGGCGGCTTGGCTGCGCGGAGCCCCGCCCCGGACCCCGCGGGCGCCAGGCCGGGCCCCGCGAGCCCCTTTCCCCCGTCTTCAACGACCGAGCCGCGGGCCGCGGAGCCGGGGCCTCGCGTGGGGAGCGGCACCGGGGCGTAGGCCGCGGAGCCGGGCGGCGGGCCGGTAGGCCGCGGAGCCGGGGCCTCGCGTGGGGAGCGGCGCCGGGCGGCGGCGGGGCGGCGCCGGGGCCTCGCGTGGGGAGCGGCGGCGGGGCGGTAGGCCGCGGAGCCGGGGCCTCGCGTGGGGGACGGCGCCGGGGCGTAGGCCGCGGAGCCGGGCGGCGGGCCGGTAGGCCGCGGAGCCGGGGCCTCGCGTGGGGAGCGGCGCCGGGCGGCGGCGGGGCGGCGCCGGGGCCTCGCGTGGGGAGCGGCGGCGGGGCGGTAGGCCGCGGAGCCGGGGCCTCGCGTGGGGACGGCGCCGGGGCGGTAGGCCGCGGAGCCGGGGCCTCGCGTGGGGAGCGGCGCCGGGCGGCGGCGGGGCGGGGCGGCGGCGGCCCGCGCGCGTCCTCACCAGATCTGGAACTTGAGCAGCGGCCCCGTGGCGTACGGCATCTTCAGCCTCTTGCCGGGCGCGCCGCCCAGGCCGGCCGAGGCCTCGCTCCGCGCCACCGCCGACGCCGCCACCAGCAGCAGCAGCAGCGGCAGCAGGAACCGCATCTTCGCCCGCAGCGCCGCTCGGCCGGCTTCGTCCGGGCTGCACCGCCCCGATCCGGCCGCCGGCGGCTCGCCACCACCGCGCAGGCGCGGCTCTGCAGCCGGGGGCGGGGCCGCGCCTGCGCAGCCGGCGCCCGCCGGGAGGGCGCGTCCTCTCGCTGTGCGCAGGCGCGGCCTCGGGGCGCGGGCCGGGCCGCGCGGAGCTCGGTTGGCCGGGCGTCCGGGGAGCCCCGCGCGCCCCGCCCCGCGCCGCCCCAACCGGGGTCGTTCGAGGCCGAATGCGTCCAGAGCGGAGCCGCCGCCACCACGGGAGCGCGGGCCAGCGCCGAGCGGTGGATCCTCCGGGGGTGCGGCGGCCCCTGGGCGGACGCGCTCCCCGCTTGCACGCCAGCCCCCCCCCCCCCGCTTGCACGCCAGCCCCGCTCCCCGCTTGCACGCCAGCCCCCCCCTCCCTGCTTGCACGCTCCCCGCTTGCACGCCAGCCCCGCTCCCTGCTTGCACGCCAGCCCCGCTCCCTGCTTGCACGCCAGCCCCGCTCCCTGCTTGCACGCCAGCCCCGCTCCCTGCTTGCACACTCCCTGCTTGCACGCCAGCCCCGCTCCCTGCTTGCACACTCCCTGCTTGCACGCCAGCCCCGCTCCCTGCTTGCACACTCCCTGCTTGCACGCCAGCCCCGCTCCCTGCTTGCACACTCCCTGCTTGCACGCCAGCCCCGCTCCCTGCTTGCACACTCCCTGCTTGCACGCCAGCCCCGCTCCCTGCTTGCACACTCCCTGCTTGCACGCCAGCCCCGCTCCCTGCTTGCACACTCCCTGCTTGCACGCCAGCCCCGCTCCCTGCTTGCACACTCCCTGCTTGCACGCCAGCCCCGCTCCCTGCTTGCACGTGAGTCCCACTCCCCGCTTGCACACTAGTCCTGCTCCCCGCTTGCACTCTCCCTGCTTGCACGCGAGTCCCACTCCCTGCTTGCACGCGAGTCCCACTCCCTGCTTGCACGCTCCCTGCTTGCACATTAGCCCCGCTCCCTGCTTGCACGCTCCCTGCTTGCACATTAGCCCCGCTCCCTGCTTGCACGCTCCCTGCTTGCACATTAGCCCTGCTCCCTGCTTGCACACTCCCTGCTTGCATGTGAATCCCGCTCCCTGCTTGCACACTCCTTGCACATTAGCCCCGCTCCCTGCTTGCACGCACTTAGCCAACAAACTCACAAGGAAAAAAACTAAGTGTAAAATCTCTTTATTCATTTATATAGTAACAACAGTATCCCTCAACCTATCAAGCCTAGCTGAAAATTCATGGACACTTTTCTATCACACACTGACATGATACAGGAGGTAAAGTCAATTTAATGGAATCATGAAGTGGCCTTACACATGGGCAGAATCTCGGATGAATGCACTATCCAGGCACATGAAGATGTGTTTACACTGATTCCTGGTAACCAACTTGCTCTCAGTGAATCTTCAAACACCCAATTCCAAATCTTCCAGCTCCTGGAGAAGGGCTGTCTCTTTTTGAATTTTTTCCAACTAGGAAAGTTTAAAACAATGAAGTTACTAAATAGGAAATAATGACTGGATCTTTAACTGCAATAGTACAGGAACAAATCAGTTCCATTGGGCAAACACATTCAAAACAGTGTCTGACTAAAAGTGTAGCTGTAGCCTTTTTACTCCAGTGCCATGTCCAGTCTGCTCTGGGCCTGACAGTGCTGAGCCCGAGTGACAGAGGAGGTCCCCCGTGGCTACTAGCAAACTGCCACAGCTTTTACCAGTGATCCACAAGCGCCCTGGGAAGAGACTGCATTCACCAGGAGGTCCCATCTTCCTCTGCAGAAGAGTGTGACTGGGCAAAACATTCAAAAGGCCGGGCACCAGCAGCTCACCCCGTGATCCTAGCCACTGAGGAGGCTGAGATCTGAGGATCGCAGTCCTAGGCTCTCATCTCCAATTAACCATCACAAAGCAGGAAGGGGGTGTGGTGGCTCAAGTGGTGGAGTGCTAGCCTAGAGCAGAGGCTCAGGACAGCACCCAGGCCCACAGTTTGAGCCCCAGGATGGGCCAAAAAAAAAAAAAAAAAGTTCATTTTGAATTGCTGTAACGAGAAATTCCAGTACGGAGTGTAGTCTCTCAAGTAGCTGGGAATATATACATGAACACATGAACTATAACTAATATTAACTTTGAAATTAAACCAAAGTAAGATTTTTTTTTTTGTTGGTCGTGGGGCTTGAACTCTGGGCCTGGGCGCTGTCCCTCAGCTCTTCAGCTCAAGGCGAGTGCTCTACCACTTGAGCTACAGCGCCACTTCCGGTTTTCTGGTGGTTTATTGGAGATAGGAGTCTCACGGCCTCTCCTGCCCGGGCTGGCTTTGAACCTCGATCCTCAGATCTCAGCCTCCTGAGTAGCTAGGATTACAGGCGTGAGCCACCAGCGCCCGGCTTCAAAGTAAGATCTTTTTGTCCTGGCAAGGTAAAAACTTAAATATTCAGGCTGAGAATAGGAATTTTTTGAATATGTACTTTTTCTGGGGCTTGGAATGAGGTTAGTGGTAGAGTGCTTGCCCTGCATGCATGAAGCCCTGGGTTTGATTCCTCAGCACCACATACACAGTAAAATCTGGAAGTGGTGCTGTGGCTCAAGTGGTGGAGCACTAGCCTAGAGCCCAGAGAGGCCCCAGGGACAGCGCCCAGGTCCTGAGTTCAAGTTCCAGGACTGGCAAAAACAAGCTAAAAAGATGTATCACATACAGTGTGCAAACCACATCTCTTTTTCCCTATCAAGTAATCACATCTCTTATAGAAAACACGAGATGGTAATGACTACAGCCCCGGAAAGCACTACAACCCCCAGCAAGTACCTGGTTTTTCTCCAACTGCTTTCCAGAGGCAGCTTGCTCCTTCAGTTGCTCAATGGCTTTCAGTTTCTGAAACCACCAAACAGCAGTCAAGAGGGGGGAGCCACTTTCCAATGCAAATGTTCTTATCAGCCACTCAATCATATCAACACAAAACCCCGTACAAAGAGTGATCTTACATTTCAATCAACCAAGGTGGGTCTGCCTGAGAGAGTAAGCTGTTTTTGAGTTTTTTGTATGCTCGTCTTTGAAGCTGGGATGCATCTGTCCCAATCTACCCCAGAAGTATGCAATGAAATACTTCGCATTTTCTGTACAAATGTACCTTATTTCCTATTTCTCTAAAATGGGTACCGTCCCTCAATCGCAGGACTTCATAGAGAGGCAAACAGTGACGCTGGTGACCAGCTTCTTAGATACCTGGTTGTGGGGAATTTTTTATTTATTTTTTAATTTTTTTTTGTTGTTGTGGGGAATTAAGCTTAGTTCTTTTCTTTGGTCAGTCGTGGGGCCTGAACTCTGGGCCCAGCTGGGCGCTGTCCCTCAGCTCTTCAGCTCAAGGCCAGTGCTCTACCACTTGAGCCACAGCGCCACTTCCAGCTTTTCTCTGCTTCTCTGGTGCTGAGGAATTGAACCCAGGGCCTCGTGCATGCAAGGCCAGCGCTCTACCACTGAGCCTCCTTCCCAGCCCCAAGCTTAATGCTTTGTGCTAGCACCCTCACTGTCAACCTGTCTTATTTGCATCTAAGTCTCTCACCTTCTTCAGGTTCTTAATTTTTCTGTCTACTTCAGGGTCACCGGAAGATGTCTGGGAGACAGGGTTCCGGGTTGTGCTTGGCGGGGCATTGGCTGCCAGATCTGGACTCTTGTCATTTCTTGCTTCCTGCAGGGAATATTTCTGAAGTGAAAACATGCCAAGTTTTAAGCAACACAGGGGTGGCTAAACATGGTTTTATCTACGTTTTACACAACTCTGAGTGAGGTCTTCTGGAGTTAAGACACATACTCCTCAGCAGCTGAGGAAGTGTCTGTGTTACTGGGCCGGCGTTCCTCCGGTTTGGGTTTTTGGGGAGGGGACACCCATGGACCTGGACCTATGAGAGGGCTTTTCACAATCAAACGGAGAATGCAGCGGGTGCTCTGGCGATGTCTTTCAGAAGAGGCGGTAGAATGCAGTGGAGCATGCCACAGGACGGAGTCCTGCACTAGCTCTTCTCTGCCAAGGGCCATGGGGTCCTCTCAACCTGAAGGATGTGACCTGCTCCGGGGGCACACCTGATGATCCTCCTCCCAGAGGACCATGGATCCTGACCCACTCTCCTGGCCCTCGCAGGCCGGAGCACGCCTGAGTCACGGCCACCTGCCTTTTGTTGTGCTGGTCCTGGGGCTGGAACTTGGCCTGGGCATTGTACCCAACATTCTTCTTTTCTTTTTAAAGTATAATTTCCATTGTATTTATTTCCCCCCAGAAGCTCGCTTTTCTTCAGCCCTGAGGTGTCCAGCTCCTTCCGTGGGTTTTGGTGGAGGTCTAAATCGGGGTGGGCTTCATGAGATGCATTCCTGACCACCCTGCTGTGAATGGCACAAAACTCACGCAGAGCTTGGGTGGCGCACAAGCGTCAAAGACACGCGCTTGGGAAACGTCCCTGGTGGCTGTGACCTCTACTGTGTTCCTGGTGACAAACTTCTCAGTGGCTTGGTCCTGGGCGCCCACTGGGCTGCACATGGCTTCGGCCCTTTTTGGCTCAACCGTTTTTCCTTTTTTTGTCATCTTGGGAACCAGGGCCAGAGAGCTGAGATTCTTTTTCTTAAGGCTAGCATTCTACCACATGAGCCACAGTGCTACTTGAGGCCTTTTCTGAGTAGTTTGTTGGCGATGAGAGTCTCCTGGACTTTCCCGCCTGGGCTGGACTGGGCCTCAGACTGTAGCCTCCTGAGCAGCTAGGATTACAGGTGTGAGGCACCAGCGCCTGGAGACCTGTCTTTTCTTGAGAGCAGTTCTTCTTTCCTTCCTCTCTCTGTTGTGGTGGAACTGGGATCTGTACTTGGGGCAGCCTGCTTGTTAGTCTGTCACTCTACCATTTGAGCCACGCTTCTAATCCCCAGCCTCATTTTCTTGGAACACAGGTTGCTAACGTTCAAGGCTGAGGGCTGACCTTATTTTTATATAAATACCTGCTTTGCAGCTTTCTTGGCCTCATGCTTCCTCTGGTTTTTCAGGGCTGTTTTTGACAGTGGTTTATCACTTCCTGGGTGTGGCTTCATGTTCTGGGGTGGTTCCTCTTCATGCTGTGGGAAAATTGAACACGAATCTTGGACAGAGCACCTACTTCACAACTAATAACTATACAGTCCCCTTTACATGGGACAGTCCTAGTTGACAGCTGTTGTAACAACATCAATAATGCGGTTGCCCATTCTTGAGCACTTGAATTATTAATACCATCACAGAAAGAGAGGGCATGCATCAGTCCTCTGCCATGAGCTCTGGCGTGTTACTTCTGGTTTGTTTTGTGACACAAGGTCTCACTACATACATGACCCGGGCTGGCCTTGATCTCCAGATCCTCGGGCCTCCAGTGCCCAGATGCTGGGATTACAGGTGTGTGGCACCACGCCTGCTGAAAGGCTCACTTTTTGAGGTATAGGAGCACCTGACCAATCCTTTGGTTGCAACTTTAAAGGAAAACTGGGGTGCTAACGGCAAATGTCTTGTTTGACCAAAGGTGTTTTAAAAACAGAGCAATTTCACAGATCCACCGTGTCTTGAGGAAAAACAAGAGCCAGGCATTTTGGCAAACTGCACTCAGCCGCTCCTCCCCCGTCACCCTCCTCACCAGGCCTGCCGCCGGTGTCCGCCGGCCTCACGGGTGTCTGTCTCAGTTACCTGCCCCAGAAGTTGAAAGTGTGGCTCCTTTAGAGCCTCCTCTTCATCAGCTCGGCAACACGAGCGCTCACCAACCACCGTCCTCAGCGGCAGGTCCGTAATCATTTCTACCCTACAGCTCATACTCTACACACACACTAAAGAACACAAGAACATGGTGCAAGGGCCTAGGGAGCCCCATGCAGAGGCTGTAAGGCATTACTTACTAGTTTGGAATTGGTGACGGGCTTATTTCTTAAGGCTGGGGGTCTATACGCGGTGGCAACTTTGGGTTCTCCACTGGGGACTTCGCTTGGAACTGCTTGGTAAGTGATTGCTTTTGCTGGAAATACACCATCCAAAAACGGCTGCCAAGAAACCTGCCATAACTCTCCATTTGACGGCACCTCGTGCTTGTATAAGACAGAGCCGGTATAATGCCAGATCTTATACCCGTTATTAACACGTAGCCTAGGAGCACATGTGGCTGTTAAAATATGCTCACCATCTGGACACCAAGCAAAATACGTGGAATCAGAAGCCACTGGCTTAGAAATCAGTCTGTAGTTTTTCACATCCCACACTTCCATCTGTCCCCGCAGGTTTCCGAATCCGGCCAGGACCAGTATGTGCCCGTGAGGACTATAGCAGGCTGCGTTGCGAGGACCGGTTCCAAAGTCAAACACAGGGTCACACTTCAAGTTGAAAACGGTGGCTTTGGCAGGCATGAAACCATACACAGCACAAAACTCAGTGGAACTAGAATTCCAAACTACATCATAAATTGGGCCATTTTTTGCTAAAAAAGACCAAATTAGACATCCAAATTAGTAGTAAGTCGATGAATATACTATTTATCAACAGAAGCTATATAAACCAGTGCAAAAAAAATGTTAAATAGTGGGGAAGAAAAAACTCCAAGAATTCTGAGGCCATTAGAATTACTCCTACATGGTAAGGCATGCAGACCCGTGCCTGGGGAATCTTAGTCACCGGGAACGCTGAGAATACCAGCACTCGCCAGGGTGACAGCTGGCCACTATTATAAAAAGACATTCCTGAGGTGGGGTCACACTCAGCTGCCTTGGCTGTTTCTGACTCTGAGTTCAACACCATCCTGCCAGGCTGAGCGTTAGGACAGGACTTCTGCACCCAGTAGCAATTTTCTTTTGGTAGAGGTTCTGTATGTTCATGGCAATAAATGAATACAAAGCATGTTCAATGGCATGCTACAAAACTAAGTCCTTCTGTCCAAAGGAAATCCTGTTACACTTCTAACTAATCTTTCCAGAACACTTTAGCTGAAAGAAAGCATCTGCTCTTGAATATGCATATAAACAACAAAGCCCTAGACCTGTGTGACTTCACTAACATACTACATACAGCGTGGAGAGATGTAAGCAGAAACACATGAAGATCTGCCTCATTCTTTTTACTCTGTATCCCCTTGTGGGGCGTTTTCCCCATTGCGAGTGTGCTCAATTATCTGCAGGAGCGAAACTGTGGACAAAGGGCATCGGCATTCACTTGGTATCAAATCTCCAAACCACCCTTTGAAGATGCTGTACCAAAGTACACACCTCTCTATCATTCCTGATCGTCCAAGGTGCCCCAACCTCGCTCCCACACTGGAGAGTTCCATATTTTTATCTCTGACAGCCAACATGTCCTTGGTCTGGGCATGGTGGTACATACCGATAATCCAAGCTTCTCCTCAGTTAGACTGAGTAGGTATTTCAGCTACCTTTTTTCTGTTTCTGACTTCAATTGGAATACTGTTTTTTTTATACAAATTTTTCCTAATTACCCATGTTAAATTCAAAATGGAGAAACTTTAGAACTATTAAAGTTAATTTAGCTTATCAAAACAAGACGTGAAGCTGGGCGCTGGTGGCTCACGCCTGTAATCCTACTCAGGAGGCTGAGATCTGAGGGTTGCGGTTCAAAGCCAGCCCAGGCAGGAAAGTCCCTGTGAGACTCTTATCTCCAATTATCCACCAGAAGTGGCGCTGTGGCTCAAGTGGTAGAGCTCAGGGACAGCACCCAGGCCCAGAGTTCAAGCCCCATGGCACAAAACAAAACAAAACACCTACCCAAACCCAAGAGCTGAAGTGGTAACTTTCTTGGATACTATTCACAACTGTGAAGACAACAGTGAACTCACGAAAGCACCTCACCACAAGGCAGTCCCAGGAGGATGACTGCGAGCAGCCTCCCTCCCTCAGGAAGCTCCACGTCTACTACAGTGCTCGCGCAGCTCAAAGTGAGACCCTGGCGTCTGTCAGAACAGGGTGGGCCTGACGGGATGAGGCCTCTGGTCCGAGATTTTACTCTGAGGCCAGGAGGGACGCACGTAGGCTGTGTGACCTGTCTCCATCTCTGGCATTTCGCTCTCCTGTCACTGTCTTGCTGACAGGAGTGTGGCTGGAGTACTCACGTAATTGCACGACAGCGCTTTCCCCGTTGGTGGCGATGTAGTGCAGCGTCTGCTCTCCGTAGTAGGAAGCTCCCGTCTTGTCCACCTCTGTGCTAGCTATCACCAACACGGCAGTAGCTGCAACAGGAAACACCCTCATTAAATTCACAACAGTTTAGGCACTGGCACTGCTTTTGTGTGTGTGCGTGTGCACACACGTGCATGTGTGCCTCGGTCCCGGAGCTTGAACTCAGGGCCTAGACTTAGGGCTGCCCCTAAACTTTTTTGCTCAAGGCCGGTGCTCTACCATTTGAACCACAGTTCCATTTCTGGCTCTTTGGTGGTTAATCAGAAATAAGACTCTCGTGGACTTCCTTCCCTGGACTGGCTTTGAGCCACGATCCTCAGATCTCAGGCGCGAGAGTAGCTGGGAACACAAGTATGAGCCACCGATGCCTGGTTGATAGTGTTTTTTTTTAATAATTCTGAACTCACACCTGATGGATAAAACAAGGAATGAAATGTATTTATCCTACCTTTCTTGTTCCACAGCATTGTAACCTTATCAGCTTTAAAGAAACTTTTATTGGCGAGTGCTGCGTGAGGTCCAGTGAAGTTGGGGTACTGATACAATCTCACAAACGAAGGTGCTCCTTTACTTCCCGGAACACAGACAGCTACCTACAACACACAGACACGTCACCCTTCACCTTTGGGAAGCACACACATTCAGAAGGGTGGAGGAAAGGGCTGTGGCAGTTACCTTGTAGGGGTGGGGTCCAGGTGACAAGACAAAATCATTAACTTTCTGCAGATGCAACTTGTTTACAATTGTGTCTAAACAGAGAGAGAGTGGCGTTAGACTAAGAAGCGGGAAGAGCATGACGAACTAAATGCATGAAGAGGCTGCCACAACCACACGGGCACTGCTTGCTGAGGCAAAGTCACACCGTGGGAAGCGCACAGGGCCAGACCCGAACCCGTTGCCTACTGCGGTGCGAGCCTCTGGCTGCTGGTGAGTGGCCCTGACTGGTTAAGACACAATGCAGTGCTCATAACCATGACAGACAGGCACGTTCTAACAAGGGTGGTATGGAGGTTAGGATGGCTGACATGTACCCTAGGGACTCAGAACCCAGTTATGAACAATCGTATGACCTTAGTAAGTTGAAGAACACTTAATTCCATTTCAGAGGTCAATGGGCAGGGGTTCAAAAGTAGCACCAGACGCTGCCCAACGAATGACTCTGTCCTGTGGCCAGTGACCAGAAGAGGCAAGAAGTATCTGGATCTGAAAACAATCGAGGAGTCTCAAAAGCGGGAAAACGGGCTACAGCTGCTCACAGCTGGCCCGCCAGCCACCCCTGGATCACATGACCACAGTGCTCAACTCCTATTCAGCCGTAAGACACACACACACACATGCAGTCAGTTCCTTCATTTTCCATAACTGTGTATTGGTATTAGTATTTTCATTTTCTAAGCTTACCATGTGGCTAGTGTGGAATAAAGCAAATGAGGTTCCCAAACCATCACCCTGGGTACTAAAGATACAGGGATTCTTGACAAAAGGTCAGGCAGGTAAGGTTAAATGACCTTACTGTTTAATTTAAACATGTCAGTGTGTCATGATGCCACAGCTTTACAGAAATGAGAAAAAGCATGGGAGACGATGATCACGGTAGCAGCAGTGAGGCCTCCTAGACATGAGCCCCTAACACCATCTTCCCTGGAAAGGAACTGGGGTTTCCTGGAGAAGCAGCCGATTCTAGGTACACATTAGCAAACACACAGAGTGAGCCTAGAATGGTTTGTTACCATATACAGCAAATAAGCCATACAGGCTAACTGAGTATGAATGAGAAACTTTCAACATCAAGAAAGCATCTACACGGATGAGAACACATTTATAAATCCCAAACTCAGAAAGACGGGAGAACAAATCAAATGGTTAGGACCAACATTATTGGAAACAACAGCTCTATTAAATTGTAAGGGAAAAGAGTATTTGTCCTGCTTCTTGTATATAAATGTACAACTAGGCGGCTGAATGGTAGACTGGAAACTGCCTTTGCAGAAGTGGCCGAGCTGGTAACTGAGCAGGGAGGGAAGGAAATGAACACCTCACCGGTTTGCAGCCACCGAACATTAACACTAACCTACAACATGAAACACCACATCGCATGCTTGTTGATAAAACAACACCATCTCATAATGTGGCCTGGCCCTCAACCACTAAAACAAGCACCTAAAGCTACCTACCTCTACGCGTATAGGGACGAGATACGCATGGTAAGTCATACCATGGGACACAAAAGCAAAAGGAAAAAATACGCAAGATAATTAACCTGATACCAAGCAATAAATTACAAGGGAGGAAAAAGATGGAGTAAAAATCCTAACATTAAAAGAAACGTAGGGCCGAGTGCTGGTAGCTTATCGCTGGCCTCCTACTGATGTATCTCCTGGTCAAATAATAGCCTGCTATTTATTTTAGCATAGCAAGGGCATGGAGACATGTGGATGAGAGCAAACTGACAGTTACTGATAGAAGGCGGACATTTTTGTATGTGAGAAGATACAGGAAAAAAATTGTGCCATAGAAAAATTGTGCTGGCAATAAGCACAGGAAAAGTGTCTTAATTTAACAGCCATTATCTAATGACTACCGTAAAGCAAAGCTTTGTGTTAGGGACATTTCACTGGCATTGAGACTTACAAGAATTTATTCAAACAGTTAACGGCAACTATTGATTGTGAATAAGATCACAATATTTAGAACAACCTCAAGATGCATGTAATGAAAACTATACACACTTAAAATAAATTATTCAATAAATGTTTCCATACTAAAATTGTTGTTTTCAAAGAAGTGTACTTCATTGTTAACATTTCGTGCACAAATAATTTCATCATCTGACCAGGATGGACACCTATATCAAAAAGAAAAAGAGTATTAAAAAAAAAAAAGGTAGAGAGATTATAACATTAAGAGGTTTAAAATCTATGATGCCGCTTATTTTTAAGGAAAACAGTATGGTATCAAATCTGTTCTTCATCATTTTACAAAACAGTGTCTAATAGAAATACATTACTTCTTTCTTTTTCAAAAACAAAGCAAATGAAAGATATTGTAACACTAGATTCCTATACGCAACATCTTTAACCATCTAGATTTTGGTCTAGTTTCAAAATCAAAACAAGAAAATAATTATCCCATAATGATATAAAGCCATTGTGTAAATACTTAGTACTTCAAAGCATATACTTACCAATTTTGCATTTTTTTCTGTATGAAAGACTTCAAACACGCCCCAGTTTTCACATCATAAAGTTGTAGGTTGGGTGTTCCGGCCGTGCCATCTTTGGAAGCTGCAAGAAACCATTTTTGGGGTGGTAATTGTCTCCTAACACTTGCAAGATTCCATTCTTAGAAAAATTAACAAACTTAAGAAAGTTAAGTAAAAGGACTGTAGTAAATCAACTTTTCTAGCCCGAGGTATAGAACTCATCCTTAAAACCATGACATCTCAGTGATGTCTAATTACTACAGATTTGAAGAACATGTAAAACATTTTCTATTTTAAAAACATGGATTAAAGACAAATGGATTAAACCATGAAGGTTTGAGTCTGTAAGCCACAAAATAAGTTATATAAAAGCATGCATGATTGCCAATTTCCCTTTGTACAAGTTGAATCTCATTAAAGTGCATGCCTCTTCAAACAATGGAAGTCTGGAGGCTTATGCCTAGCAGTGAAATAGTATCAAAATCAACATTAGAAAATGTTTCTAAAAATAAATCTCTATACCAGATTTTGGTATTTGATTATCTAATGGGTAAAACACTGCATAAAATATATCTTATCTTTCAGTATCTTTAAATGTGTTAGGAAATGGCCCTACTCCCAACTCTCTTGGAAGACAAGGCCTCATACGTCACTCAAGTGGCATCTAACCGGTATCTTGCTGCAGCGCCGAGCGCTGGGATTGTAGGTATGGATCACCATGTTCAGCTTGTTTCCTTTCTTTGCCACACTACACATGTCTCTTAGATGCTGTGTCTGCCATATTTTTTTGACTTACAATAACTACTTAAATACCAGTATACTCCTCAGGACTGGGGCTTGGTTATCTGTGTGCGTGTGTGCGCCTGCTTGGCTTTTTCATTTGATGATGGTGCTCTACCACTTGTGTAACATCTCCACTTTCAGAGGGGGGTAACAATGTTCAAGAGGAAGTGTCCTCATAACCTCACTCATGTAACTGTAACCCTCTGTATAGTAGCTTTACAATAAAAAAAAAAACAAAAAAAACATCTCCACTTTCAGCTTTCTGCTGGTTAATGGAGATAAGAGTCTCAGACTTTCCTACCCAGGCTGGCTTCAAACCCCTCCTCTCAGATCTCTGCGTAGCTAGGATTACAGCCCTGCTTGCTGGAACTGGGTCTTAAATTCAGGGCCTTGCACTAGCTAGGCAGGTGCTCCACCGCGCGCCGCACTTCAGCCCTGCTTTACACTCCTTTTTCCCCCTGGACAGTGCCTGGAATGTGATCTATTTTACACTTCCTGTAAGCACCTGGGATAAGAAGCATGTGTAACCACATCCACTCCCCACCGGGGATGGAGTCCCTTGAAAATGCCCCCCTAGAATGGCCTGAAAACACCGACTCCCAACCAGCCTCACGCGTGGTCGAGGGTGAGGGCACCCCCCTAGGTGCACTACTGGTTCACTAGAGCGGCACGTGGATGCCCAGCCTGGTCTCAAACACCTGCCCTCATCTCAGCAGGGGCAGTTGGAAAGCCATTAGGACCGTTCATTGTCCCAGACATTCTCTAAGCAGCAGCGACTTGCTTCCGAGTTTTTCTTGAGCTATCTCACGACAGATCTTTTCAGTAACTTACTCTGCAGCCTTATCTACCTGTGTTTTCACTTTCTGAGCAATCAACTACCTGAGGTCAACCACAGTCCAAAAGCACTACACGGAGTCTTCCAGACGTGAACGATTCGAAGGCGTTGGGCTGCGCGATGGTCCCCTGCCGCCCCAGCCCCACTTGGACACGCACCGTCGGGTCCTGTGCGCGCATGCACACGGCACCCCCACGGCAGGGCCCACCCACCCTGTCACTCGGCTGCTATCCTGGCTACCATACCCACGGACCTTTACTCAAGTTCATCCGGGCTCCAAACGCTCACGTGGCTTTGCCAAAGAGAAGTGCTTCCTTTAAAGAAAATGTGGAATTCTCAACTATGTAAGGCTTCGAAGCAGCCAGTGCCGAGGGCTCACTCCTGTAATTCTAGCTCCTCAGGAAGTGGAGATGTGAGGATCACGGTTCAAAGCCAGCCTGGGCAGAAAAGTTTGTGAGACTCATCCCCAATAACTACTCAGAAAAAGCATTAAGTGGTGCTGTGGCTCAAGTGGCAGAGTGCTGGCCTTGAGCACAAAGAGGCTCTAGGACAGCGCCCAGGCCCTGAGTTGAAGGCCCAGGACTGACAAAGAAAAAAAAAGAACAAAAATCATACATTGAGGCTGCTAAGACTGAAGACTAAATCATCTCTCCATGAAGTTGTGGAACACCGTGGTTCTGCTACCACGGACAGTCAGGACCAGCCACAGCGCCTAGGGCTTGGCTAAGACGTAGGAGCCCGCTGTCTGAGGCACGGGGGGGGGGGGGGGGGGGGGGGGGGGGCGGGGGGGATGGCTGGCCCTTCCTTTCCATACACCGCACCGAAGAATGCAGTCTGCCCTGCTGGCCACAGACATCCACGGCCACTGCCTACTGTCCTACGGGAGACACCGAGCCTGTGTGTCTCGGGTCGCGCTGGGAAAGTACTTACTAGTGTAGGGCTGCCAGGTGGCCAGGACGGTGTTTTGCGGTGAGAATTCAAGGCAGACCACCTTTGGGAGGTGGAGGGAGTGCAGCGGTCCGTTGTTAGTGACATCAATGATACTGACTCTGGTTCCAAAAGAAATTACTTTAGCAAAGGAATTCCATTTCGCAGTAGCCAGCACAAACAGAAACAGTCACACCGCGTCTGAAAATAGTCCTTTTTCATACAAATCAGTTTTCAGTTAATTCTGGAAAATTCCCAGGAACACCTTACCTAAAAAGTTTTCTGGAAAAATAACATACATTTCACAAAAGCAAAAAACAAAAAGCCTCTATATAAGGACAGTGCTGGGGAATAATACCGAATTGGCAGCAAGAGCCAAGAGTGAGCGGGTGACTATAGCTGAGGCCACAGGCCCTTCGCCGAACCCAGAACTGGACGGGGCAAAGTCAAGGCCTGCCCGAGAAAAGCAAAGGCAGAGGTGCACACAGGGCAGCACAGTGAAGAAGCAGCAGCGTGGGCGAGTCTGAAGCTGATGAACACCTCCAGCCAGCCGCTGGTGGATCATGCCTATAACATTAACTCCCAGGAGGCTGTAATCGGAGGATCACGGTTCAAAGCCAACCTAGGCAGCAAAGTCTATGAGACGCTTATCCCCAATAAACCACCAAAATAACTAACTAACTAAATAAAGCTGGAAGTGGTATTGTGGCTCTAAGTGATAGAACACGAGTCTTAAGCAGAACAAGCTAAAAGGCAGTGACCAGGACCTGAGTTCAAGTCCCAATACTGGCACGAAGAAAAAATAAACTCCAAAGAAGTCTCCAAAGATAGGACTATAAGAATTACCCTGGAGGGCTGGGACAGTGGCTCAGTGGTAGAGCACTTGCCTTGCATGCCTGAGACCCTGGGTTCGATTCCTCAGCACCACATAAGCAAAAAGAAAAAAGCCGGAAGTGGCGCTGTGGCTCAAGTGGTAGAGCACTAGCCTTGAGTTGAAGAGCTGAGGGACAGCGCCCAGGCCCAGAGTTCAGGCCCCATGACCGGACCAAAAAAAAAAAAATTACCCTGGAAAAAATGCAGCAGTGATACTCACTGGATACTATGTTGAAAATGAACTATAGAACTCAAGCGGGGGATGGGAAGGAGGGAAAAACTGGGAGAGGGAGGTAAGGAGTGATACTGTTCAAAAAGAAATATACTCTTGTGTTCGCTTCGGCAACACATATACTAAAATTGGAACGATACAGAGAAGATTAGCATGGCCCCTGCACAAGGATGACACGCAAATTTGTGAAGCGTTCCATAAAAAAAAAAAAAAAAAAGAAATATACTCTTTACCTGACTTATGTAACTAAACCCTCTGTATATCACTTTTAGAATAACAAAAAGTTTAAATAAAAAATAACCTGAAGAGGGCTGGGAAGGTGGCTCAGTGGTAGAGCGCTTGCCTTGCATGCATGAGGCCCTGGGTTCGATTCCTCAGCACCACATAAGCAAAAAGAAAAAAGCCATAAGTGGTGCTATGGCTCAAGTGGTAGAGCGCTAGCCTTGAGCTGAAGAGCTGAGGGACAGCGCCCAGGCCCAGAGTTCAGGCCCCATGACTGGACCCAAAAAAAATAAAATAAAATAACCTGAAGATTCATTATCTTATAATAAAAATTCTTACTAAAAAAAACAGAATTATGGTGCACAGCAATGGCAACTATTGCAAAAGCCGCGTCGTCGGCGTATGTGCACATGCATGCGTGTGCGTGCATGGACAGTGGTCTGACCCTCTTGTCTAAGTCTTTTCAGTCATCCCCATGACAATCTTGGAAGCGTCCTCATCTCTGCTCTACCTTATTCCAGAAGTTGTTCAAAGACTTCATTCCACTCAGGCTAGGATAAGCACTGGCAGTGAGAACGACATGGCAGTTTAAGTGAATACCTGTTTCTTTAAAGTATTTCTTACTCTAGTTTACTATGTAAGCCTGTTATCCTGTGTATTTCATTCATACTAGCCTTCTATTGAATTCAATTCTGAATCTTTTAGTATATCCATGTGTCTTTTTTTTTTTGCTGGTCCTGAGGCTTGAACTCTGGGCCTAGGCACTGTCCCTGAGCTTCTTTTGCTCAAGGCTAGCGCTCTACCACTTGAGCCACAGCGCCACTTCAGGCTTTTTCTGTGTATGTGGTGCTGAGGAATTGAACCCAGGGCTTCATGCATGCTAGGCAAGCACTCTACCACTGAGCCACCTTCCCAGCCGTCCACGTATCTTTTCAAATGTGGTGTCGACCATGTTACTAGGTACTTTTGGTATCAGAGGCTGCCTTATTTCCCTTCAAGTGCTGGGGTCACAAGGGTGCATTACTGCAGTAAGAGAATCAGATAAGAGTGCGCTGACTGTGGTCATGGCTCAGTTTATCTTTCAATCAGTCAGAAACTGTTTTCTCAGAACTTCTGAAAACATCCTTTATAAAACTAGGAGCAATTATTATCAACAAAATAAGAAAGGTTCATGTAATTTTTTAAATGTGCCACATACTATACTTACAAAGATTTGTATATGTAGTTTTTAAACAAGATGTTTATCTTTTACTATTATTTTTTTTTTGGGGGGGGGGGTCCGGTTGTGGGGCCTGGACTCTGGGCACTGTCCCTCAGCTCTTCAGCTCAAGGCTAGCACTCTAACACTTGAGCCACAGTGCCACTTCCTGCTTTTTTCTTTTTTTGCTTATGTGGTGCTGAGGAATGGAACCCAGGGCCTCATGCATGCAAGGCAAGCGCTCTACCACTGAGGCACCTTCCCAGCCCCTCTTTTACTATTATTGTTAGTAGTAGGAGTAGTGTGTGTGTGTGTGTGAGAGAGAGAGAGAGAGAGAGCGTGTGAGCGAGCAAGAGTGAGCGCTCTCTGGGGCTTGAACTCTGGGCCTGGGTGCTATCCCAGAAGGGGGGGTGAGGAGAGGGGGAGGAAGAGGGGGAGGGAGCACGAGAGGGAGCAAGAGCGAGCGCGGTCTGGGCCTGGGTGCTGTCCCTGAGCTTCTTTGTGATCAGGGCTAGCCCTCGCTCTACCACTTGAGCCACAGCACTGCTTCTGGCTTTTGGTGGTTAACTGGAGATAAGAGGCTTGCAGACTTTGCTGTCTGGGCTGGCCTTGAACTGTGATCCTCAGACTGCAGCCTCTTAAGTAGACAGGATGTCAGGAGTGAGCCACATTGAGCAGTTCATCAAAAATCATGTGTTTAATCCAATTTGACCTGACAGTTGGAAAATATCAAAACACATTCCCAACTATAAAGAAAAAATAAAATACTTATCACTATTAAATGGTTAAAAACAATAAAAATAGTTTTAAACCAGGCAACAGATAGTTCGGCATTTTTCTAACGTATGAGAAAAAATGTCAGGAATCTTCAGAAAATTATAAAGACTAATTTTCTTAAAATTTTAAAAATCAGAATTATTTTCTGCAAGACAAATTTTGTAAAGCAGTTTACACAGTAGATTATGCTAAACATTCTTTTCAATAATTTATATACTTTTTTTTTTTTTTTTTTTGGTCGGTTGTGGGGCTTGAACTCTGGGCCTGGGCGCTGTCCCTCAGCTCTTCGGCTCAAGGCGAGCGCTCTACCACTTGAGCTACAGCACCACTTCCAGTTTTCTGGTGGTTTATTGGAGATAGGAGTCTCACGGTCTCTCCTGCCCGGGCTGGCTTTGAACCGCGATCCTCAGATCTCAGCCTCCTGAGTAGCTAGGATTACAGGCATGAGCCACCAGCGCCAGGCTTAATTTATATACTTTTACATACATTAGGACTACAGTAATACTAACTGTGGTATTGTCAATTTGATAGCAAAGACACAAAGTATCTAAATCCAAGGTATGGTAAATAAGCAAAGAAACCCTACCAGTAACTTTTAGAGTATGATGACCATAACTTCTCTAATTCCTCAGTATGAAAATAATCACGCTCCTCATATGCTAACTTTAAGTTCTTGGACATGTAGGTAAGGAAGACAGGGCGTGTATATGGAAGCACCTTTGGAAGTGCTCAAAGCCATCTCACCACACACAGCACTAAAGCAGCCAGTCACATTTATACTAACGAAGCACATGAAATACGCTATTTAAATGAGCACTAACTTTTCTCCACTGGCCCAGGCAAACAAGGACCCGTCTTTACTAAAGGCATAGACTCTGCAGTTTTTTCCAGGTTCCCTGAAAATGAGAAGAAAGCTTGAGTTAATAGACATCAGTGTTTGTTAATTTGATTTTAAAGCCGACAATCCACTAATTTAATGACTTACGCAAATTTTATAAAACAATCCCAAAATGCTTTGGTCTGCCAAAATACGTTCTCTTTTAAAACATAATGTCAACAACCACCATAAAATAAGCTGAAAACTTATTTTCTGCTATGGGATAAATCTTAGAAATAGGTCACTCTTGGGTGTATAACTAGTTTGTGTGGAAAACCCCAACATGTAAATGAATATGAAAGTTGATTTCAACACCCCAGACCACCTGCATAACAAAACAATGGTGACAGAATATCCTCACAGCCAACAAATACCCCTGGATTTGAAGACCAAAGACCGACCATCCGTCTCTCACATGTTCAGAGAACAGAGGGTCTTCACCTTAATCAATGCTGATGTACAGTGTCCATGAAAATGGACTACTTGGCAGCACTCTATTAAGTAATCAGAATTCCAAGTCTGCCACCTCCCTGCTGGAGATGGCCACTCTCTTAGAGGTAAGGAAGGCCCAAAAGGACTTGGTCTGTCAGTGATCACAGCATTAGAGATGAGAACCGAATTGCCAAATAACAAATGCACCATGCACTGACCCACAATGTACCCTTCTTAAGCTAGCTTTGCATCAATTTAACTAAAGATGACATTCTGACTTTTTTGTAGTCATTCCATAACTGGCTTACACTGGGTTCAAAGTTACAAAACTAAAAAAAAAAAAAAAAAAAAAGTCTTTCTCTTTTAAACAAGATGTCCCCATCCTATACTTCTGCAATTAATTTCCAAATCTTAAGGCAGAACTTTACAAGTATCTTTATGAAATTCTTCCCAGGTTTTGGCCTACTAGGTTCAGCCTACTCAGATCTAATTAAGTATTCATTTTCTTTTAAACCATTAGTCATTCCTTAGAAATTCACATAAAAGTGAAAATTATAAAATATCATTCCTAAACTATTATGTAAATTACTTATAAGAATCCTGAATGAGCTCAGAAAAGCAAAAATCTGTGCCTCAAGTCCTTGCCTTCAACTAAACCAACTCATAAACGGGTTAGCTTCACTGCTCTGATCTAGCAGCTTCATCAGCTTCAACACAAGAGCAAAAAGCCACATTTACAGTTTATTACTCTGATGGGCCTGGAAATTCTGCATGCAAAGGAGATGAGCCTGCTCATTTTGACCCCAACCATCACCACCTATCTCAATGGTTATGAGCAGTCTTTCTAGTAACTCTTACTAGAACTGTTTAAGACTGAAGGCAAGCTGGGCTCCGGTGGCACGCACCTGTCATCCTAGCCACTCAGGAGGCTGAGATCTGAAGCTCCAAGTTCAAAGCCAGCCCAAGCAGGAAGATCTGTGAGACTCTTATCTCCAATAAACTACTCAGAAAAAAACAGGAATGGCACTGTGGCTCAAGTATTTTAGCCTATATAATCCAGAAATCAGGTTTGTTTTTCATCTTGGTAATTGAGAAATTTTGTCTATTTCCTTTTGGTATAATTCTTCAATAGAAAAACTTCAAGTATATACAGAAATAGAGAAAAGTAGGTAATCATCAACCTCGTGTATCGTGTATTTGTCCCCCCAAGTTTTATTTTTCACACCAGAATATTTCAAGTAAACATCACATGTCCTATTGGTTTATTCTATACTTCAGCATCTATCTCTGATAAAGATATTTTAAAGAAAACAGTCATGATCATACTGCTTCATCTCACAAGACTAACTCCTTTTTTTTTTTGGGGGGGGGGGGGGGGTCCGGTCGTGGGGCCTGAACTCTGGGCCTGGGTGCTGTCCCTCAGCTCTTCAGCTCAAGGCTAGCGCTCTACCACTTGAGCCACAGCGCCACTTGCGGCTTTTTTCTTTTTGCTTATGTGGTGCTAAGGAATTGAACCCAGGGCCTCTGGCATGCAAGGCAAGCGCTCTACCACTGAGCCACCTTCCCAGCCCCAAGACTAACTCCTTACTACCAGCTAATACCCGTGTGTGTGTGTGTGTGTGTGTGTGTGTGTGTGTGTGTGTGTATGCGCGCATATGCGTGTGCACACAGAGGGTTAAACTCTGAGCCTGGTTGTCTCTTGGCTTTTTTGCGCATCTGCCCCTTGAGCCACACCGTCACTTCTGGCTTTTTTCTGGTTAACTGGAGATGAGTCTCTAGGGTTTATCTGCTTGGGTCAGCTGTGATCCTCAGATCTCAGCCTCCTGAGTAGCTCAGTTTACAGGTAAGAGACACCAGCACCCCGCTTGGATCTGGGACTTTAAAAATGTCTCCAAATTTGAGAACTAAGTATCTGAAGACTGATGAAATTCAGTGTTTAGATCTTTTTAAAACCAGCTTCTTAGAAGGTGCAGCTAAGCTCCTGGTCTTCGTACGGCGGCTCAGTAGGGACACTCATCGCTCCTTGCTCTACTCAGTTAGCTCAGTAACTGCAGTGGTACTGAAGTTAGCTGTCACAAGCACCTCACCTCTCCTGCTCTTGGAAGAGACCTGACCACCTCACCTCCTCACAGCTCTGGAGCCTGCAGGACGCCCATCACAACCACGTTAGAATAAGGGCTCAACTCACATCAACCCATGCCCCACTACCTCTGGGATGGCCCTGCAGCCCTTCTGTGGACCTCTTGATCAGCTCGGTGTACTCACTCTGTTTGACCCCTTTCCTGCCTTGCCTTGGGACCAGTGAAGTGTGGCATAGGACTGCTTTCTAGGACAGTGCTTCTTAAACATGGACTCACAGACAGGTTGTTGGAGGACCTGGTCAAATGCAGATTCTTCTTAAATAACCCTCTTTCACCCCAGAGACAATCATTTTTACTAGACTGGGGAGGGGGTTATCTATTTAGCTATATATTAAGTTTATCTATTCGGTCTGATACTGTGTTACTGGCAGTGGTTTGATATCACATTTGCAATTTTTCTTCTTTTTTTTTTTTTTGTTGTTGTTGGTCAAGGTGCTTGAACTCTGGGCTTGGGTGCTGTCCTTGCATTCTTCAGCTCAAGGCAAGTGCTTTACCACTTGAGCCACAGCACCACTTCCAGTTTTCTAAGATAAAACTTGTCCAAACTAAGTGCCTGGACTCAATCTAACGTCTATACTTGCTCCTTAAAACTATTTGCCTCTCCCTTTTTTTTGTTGTTGTTGGTCATGGGTATTGAACTCTGGCCCTGGGTCCCTCAACTCTTCAGATCAAGCCTAGCTCTCTACCACTTGAGCCACAGCACCACATCTGGTTTCCTGAGTGGTTTATTGGAGATAAGAGTCTCACACTTTCCTGCTTGGGCTGGCTTTGAACTTCGATCATCAGATCTCAGCCTCCTGAGTGGCTAGGATGACAGGTGTGAGCCATGGGCACCCGGCTGCCTCTCCCTTTTAAACAGATATAAGCTACTATTTTCAAATCTGAAGATCATTTTCCTTAATAAAAAAAAGAACATGTATTCTTTCCAACTTTTTTTTGGGGGGGGAGGGCCCTGAACTCTGGGCCTGGGCGCTGTCCCTCAGCTCTTCAGCTCAAGGCTAGCGCTCTACCACTTGAGCCACAGTGCCACTTCCAAGCTTTTTTCTTTTTGCTTATGTGGTGCTGAGGAATCGAACCCGGGGCCTCAGGCATGCAAGGCAAGCGCTCTACCACTGAGCCACCGTCCCAGCCCCCCAACTTCTTTTATTGTATAAGATCTTCCAAGGAATTAGTTTTTGTTTCTTTTTCTTGTTTGAATGATACCAACAACAAAAACGATTCGGAACTGTGTATTACTGTATTATTACTTTCCAACAAAATAAGCCGTACCTTGGAAACACTGTACTTTCTGTAAAATGCGGGGGTCCATTCACCATGTACAGACCTTCAGATCCTCGGACTAAAGAAACACAATTCAAAGAGCCGGTGTGACTTTCCTAATAAAGGTTCAAGTTAGGTTTTGAGGTGCTGTCTTGCCTTTTCGCTGTAACTGGGGCCAGGGGCCATCTCTTAACTCTGTCCGCTCAAGGCGGGCACGCTGCCACCCGAGCCTCAGTGCTACTCCTGGCTTTGGCGGGCGACTGGCTGACTGCGGGCGGGCGGGCCTCATCACGGGTCGCCGCCCCGCGGGCTTTGAACCTCCCATCGCAGGCTCCCGCGCGGCCGGGGTCGGGGCCTCAACTCCGGGCCTGGGCGCTGTTCCTCGGCCCTTTCTGCTTCGGTGGTGCTGCGGAGTCGAACCCGGGGCCTCGCGCCGGGGAGGCGAGCACCGCACCACGGAGCCCCGCACGGCGGGGGCAGCGGCGCCGCCCGGGGCCGCCGATCCCCGCAGCCCGACCCGCAACCCGACCCCGCCCGGGGCCGCCGATCCCCGCAGCCCGACCCCGCCCGGGGCCGCCGATCCCCGCAGCCCGACCCCGCAACCCGACCCCGCCCGGGGCCGCCGATCCCCGCAACCCGACCCCGCAGCCCGACCCCCGCCCGGGGCCGCCGATCCCCGCAGCCCGACCCCGCAGCCCGACCCCGCCCGGGGCCGCCGATCCCCGCAGCCCGACCCCGCCCGGGGCCGCCGATCCCCGCAGCCCGACCCCGCCCGGGGCCGCCGATCCCCGCAACCCGACCCCGCAGCCCGACCCCGCCCGGGGCCGCCGATCCCCGCAGCCCGACCCCGCCCGGGGCCGCCGATCCCCGCAGCCCGACCCCGGCCCGGCCCGCCAGCCGCAGGCGCGCCACCCCCGCCCGGGCCGCGGGCCGCAGGGCGCAGGCGCGGGGCGCGCTCGGCCGCGCAGGCGCGCGGGGCGCCCCCCTCCCCGGCGGGGCCGGCCGGGCGCAGCTCCCTCAGGACACAGCGTCCCTCGCGGGGGTCGGACGCGCCCCCGCCCCCGGGAGGGGGCCCGGGCCCCGCGGACCCACCTGTCAGCAGCGGCGCGGACGGCGCCATGTCGTCCCGGAAGGAGAACCCCATGCGCCGGGCCCGGGGTCAGCGCGCGCCGAACCCGGCCCCTACACGTCGCCTCGCGCGGGGAGGCCGACGCAGAGTGCTTCCGGGTCGCCGGCGTCGGGGCCGGCCCGCTTCCGGTTCCGGCTCGCGCATGCGCAGCCGCGGAAGGGCGCGCGGGGGCGGGGGCGCGCGCAGGCGCGGGGGCGCGCACGGCCTGCGTCGGCGCGGGGCGGCGCTGCCCAGTGCTGACGTGGGGCGCGGAGCCCGAGCCGTTCGAGGCTGCGCGCGGCGCCGCGCGGTTGTTGCGTGTCCCCTCCTCGCGTCCACGCTCGCGGCGGCGGCGGCCCCGCACCCGCCCGGCCCGGCCCGCCCGCCCGCGGCCCCTCGGAGTGCCCGGCCCGGGAGACTCGTCGCCCCGGCGGCCCGGGAGGCGGCGCGCGCGCGGCAGGCGCGGCCCGCGAAGATGGTCGCCAAGCAGCGGATCCGGATGGCGAACGAGAAGCACAGCAAGAACATCACGCAGCGCGGCAACGTCGCCAAGACCTCGGTGCGGGGCCGATCCGGGCCGGGCCGATCGGGGCCGGGGTTGGGGTTGGGGCCGGGGCCGATCGGGGCCGGGGTTGGGGTTGGGGCCGGGGCCGATCGGGGCCGGGGTTGGGGTTGGGGCCGGGGCCGATCGGGGCCGGGGTTGGGGTTGGGGCCGATCGGGGCCGGGGTTGGGGCCGATCGGGGCCGGGGTTGGGGTTGGGGCCGATCCAGGGCGATCGGGGCCCCGGGCTGGGCCTAGGGCCGGGCGGGTGCGGGGCGGGCGGGTGCGGGCCGGGCGGGTGCGGGGCGGGCGGGGGTCAGGCGGGTGCGGGCCGGGCGGGGGTCAGGCGGGTGCGGGCCGGGCGGGGGTCAGGCGGGTGCGGGCCGGGCGGGGGTCAGGCGGGTGCGGGCCGGGCGGGTGCGGGGCGGGCGGGGGTCAGGCGGGTGCGGGCCGGGCGGGGGTCAGGCGGGTGCGGGGCGGGCGGGGGTCAGGCGGGTGCGGGCCGGGCGGGGGTCAGGCGGGTGCGGGCCGGGCCGGGCGGCCGCCTCATGACCCCCCTCCCGCAGAGGAACGCCCCCGAGGAGAAGGCGTCCGTGGGCCCCTGGCTGCTGGCGCTCTTCATTTTCGTCGTGTGCGGCTCGGGTGAGTGCGGGGCCCGCGGGCAGCGCGGCCCACCTGCCGGGCGCGGGGTGCGGCGGGGGCGGGGGCGGGTCGGGAGCGGGCCGTGCCCACCGGGCAGCGCCTCCAGCCGGCGGCGGAGGCCGGGCCGCGGCCACCCCCCTCACCTGCCCCCATCCACCCCCTCACCTGCCCCCGGTCACCCCCTCACCTGCCCCATCCACCCCCTCACCTGCCCCCGGCCACCCCCTCACCTGCCCCGGCCACCCCCTCACCTGCCCCCATCCACCCCCTCACCTGCCCCCATCCACCCCCTCACCTGCCCCCGGCCACCCCCTCACCTGCCCCCGGCCACCCCCTCACCTGCCCCCATCCACCCCCTCACCTGCCCCCGGCCACCCCCTCACCTGCCCCCGGCCACCCCCTCACCTGCCCCCGTCCACCCCCTCACCTGCCCCCGTCCACCCCCTCACCTGCCCCCATCCACCCCCTCACCTGCCCCATCCACCCCCTCACCTGCCCCCGGCCACCCCCTCACCTGCCCCCATCCACCCCCTCACCTGCCCCCGGCCACCCCCTCACCTGCCCCCATCCACCCCCTCACCTGCCCCCGGCCACCCCCTCACCTGCCCCCATCCACCCCCTCACCTGCCCCCGGCCACCCCCTCACCTGCCCCCATCCACCCCCTCACCTGCCCCCGTCCACCCCCTCACCTGCCCCCATCCACCCCCTCACCTGCCCCCGTCCACCCCCTCACCTGCCCCCGGCCACCCCCTCACCTGCCCCCATCCACCCCCTCACCTGCCCCCGGCCACCCCCTCACCTGCCCCCATCCACCCCCTCACCTGCCCCCGGCCACCCCCTCACCTGCCCCCGGCCACCCCCTCACCTGCCCCCGGCCACCCCCTCACCTGCCCCCGGCCACCCCCTCACCTGCCCCCATCCACCCCCTCACCTGCCCCCGGCCACCCCCTCACCTGCCCCCGGCCACCCCCTCACCTGCCCCCGTCCACCCCCTCACCTGCCCCCGGCCACCCCCTCACCTGCCCCGGCCACCCCCTCACCTGCCCCATCCACCCCCTCACCTGCCCCATCCACCCCCCTCACCTGCCCCCGGCCACCCCCTCACCTGCCCCCGGCCACCCCCTCACCTGCCCCCGGCCACCCCCTCACCTGCCCCCATCCACCCCCTCACCTGCCCCGGCCACCCCCTCACCTGCCCCCATCCACCCCCTCACCTGCCCCCGGCCACCCCCTCACCTGCCCCCGGCCACCCCCTCACCTGCCCCGGCCACCCCCTCACCTGCCCCCATCCACCCCCTCACCTGCCCCCATCCACCCCCTCACCTGCCCCGGCCACCCCCTCACCTGCCCCCGGCCACCCCCTCACCTGCCCCCGTCCACCCCCTCACCTGCCCCGGCCACCCCCTCACCTGCCCCCGGCCACCCCCTCACCTGCCCCCGGCCACCCCCTCACCTGCCCCCGGCCACCCCCTCACCTGCCCCCATCCACCCCCTCACCTGCCCCATCCACCCCCTCACCTGCCCCCATCCACCCCCTCACCTGCCCCATCCACTCCATCCTGCCCCTGGCCAGCCCAGGCCATGGCATCTGGCCCTGAGGAGGAGAGAATGGAGGAGGACCGGGCAGCCTGGGGTTGAAAACCCGCTATGGCGTCAGGTTCTTCCTAAGACAGCCCCTCACCTGGAAGCTTTTCTGGGACTGCTGTGCATAAAACTCAGGGAAGCTGGAATTAAAAGCGGAGCCGGCAGGCTGGTGTCCCCCATGCCGGGCCTGGACGCCGCAGGGGGCCGTGGAGGGGGTTAGTGCTCACAGCCCAGACCCAGCCCGGCAGAGCCCCTCCTGATGTTTGCGCTTCCCCATTACAGCAATCTTCCAGATTATTCAGAGTATCAGGATGGGCATGTGAAGCGCAGACCAAGGTGTCTCCGTTGTGCTGTGAACTTTAGCCTGAACTCATTCCTGACGTCTGATGCCTCGGACAAGAACCATGCAGTGAAGCCTCCTGCCTCCGAACGGCCTTCCTACCCTCCTGTGTCATTCCAGGCTCCCCACGAGTCATTCCAGGCCCCCCTCCACACCACAGTGCCTTGCAAGAGCACATGAATAAAGCAATAACACTTGATTATTCAGCTCCGGTAGTGGACCCCGCTCCTTCAGTCAGCCAAGAGCAACTGCTGCTGTGCTCGCGAAATAGCATTCTGTGCGGATGGTTAGGTTGAGTCTGGCGTGGTCTAGGTTTTAACTCTCACGCATAACTGCAATTACCTTAATGTAAAATTTGGAATCCTAGGGGTTTTATATAGCTAGGCACTTTGTTACTCAGACTGAAAGCACACTCCATGGTAAGGTCATGTGACTGTCCTGTAACAAGGTGCTTATACGTGGAACAGCAGTAGTTAGCCTGGTGTTACCATGGTTATCACCGGAGATTCTCAAAGCCTGTAACTGCAGTGTGAGCAGAGATGCCCAGGGCCCCTCCCGACCGTACTGTTTCTGAGCGCAGTAACCTGAGATGGTCTTTAAAATCAGGCAACCATGCATCTCGTGACTTAACCAGTACTGGCTGGAAACGCGGTCGAGTGCGTCCCTCGGCTTTCCCAGAGTTACAGTGATTATCAGAGCGGCCTGCTGCCCCAGACCAGAGCGCGGGGAAGAAGGGAGGACTTGCTGGAGGCCCGTGTGCCACCTGGTGTGCAGGAGCTCTCGCTGGCGCAGACTCCCCAGGGGAGTGCGTTTTCAGTGTCTCTGCTGGTAGGGATCAGGTCTTTAGTCTTCCTTTGTGTGTGACTGCCTGCGTTACGGTTTATCAAACTTCAGTGCTGGTAAAGGTGAAGCGGTAGCGGGTCTGGGTTTGTGGCCCGGTGGGCAGCGCCCGGCCTGGCTGTGTCAGTGCGTTGGAAGGCTGCTGACAGTGCTTCGCACCCTGCCTCAGGATCCCCTCAAATAAGCTGTCTGGGGAGGAGGAGAAGGGAATTGCTACCTAGTCCATACACAGTACAACCTCACAGGGACCTCCTGCCCCCGGGTGTGGAGGGTGTGGAGGGCCTGGCTGCACGGACAGGACCAGCTGGCCAGCGGCCCGCAGGTCCCCCCCTCCCGCCCCGCTTCCCGCCCCGTGCCCGCAGGTCCCCCCTTCCCTTCCCGCCCCGTGTCCGCAGGTCCCCCCTTCCCTTCCCGCCCCGTGCCCGCAGGTCCCCCCTTCCCTTCCCGCCCCGTGCCCGCAGGTCCCCCCCTCCCGTCCCGCTTCCCGCCCCGTGCCCGCAGGTCCCCCCTCCCTTCCCGCCCCGTGCCCGCAGGTCCCCCCTTCCCTTCCCGCCCCTCCCCGCCCCGTGGCTCAGCGGCCCGCAGGTCCCCCCTTCCCTTCCCGCCCCGTGCCTCAGCGGCCCGCAGGTCCCCCCTTCCCTTCCCGCCCCGTGCCTCAGTGGCCCGCAGGTCCCCCCTTCCCTTCCCGCCCCGTGCCTCAGCGGCCCGCAGGTCCCCCCTTCCCTTCCCGCCCCGTGCCTCAGCGGCCCGCAGGTCCCCCCTTCCCTTCCCGCCCCGTGCCCGCAGGTCCCCCCTTCCCGCCCCGTGTCCGCAGGTCCCCCCTTCCCTTCCCGCCCCGTGCCCGCAGGCCCCCCCTTCCCTTCCCGCCCCGTGTCCGCAGGTCCCCCCTTCCCTTCCCGCCCCGTGCCCGCAGGCCCCCCCTTCCCTTCCCGCCCCGTGCCCGCAGGTCCCCCCTTCCCTTCCCGCCCCGTGCCCGCAGGTCCCCCCTTCCCTTCCCGCCCCGTGCCCGCAGGTCCCCCCTTCCCTTCCCGCCCCGTGCCCGCAGGTCCCCCCTTCCCTTCCCGCCCCGTGCCCGCAGGTCCCCCCTTCCCTTCCCGCCCCGTGCCCGCAGGTCCCCCCTTCCCTTCCCGCCCCGTGCCCGCAGGTCCCCCCTTCCCGCCCCGTGCCCGCAGGTCCCCCCTTCCCTTCCCGCCCCGTGCCCGCAGGTCCCCCCTTCCCGCCCCGTGCCCGCAGGCCCCCCCTTCCCTTCCCGCCCCGTGCCCGCAGGTCCCCCCTTCCCGCCCCGTGCCCGCAGGTCCCCCCTTCCCGCCCCGTGCCCGCAGGTCCCCCCTTCCCGCCCCGTGCCCCCCCGCCCTGTACTTGTTTCCCTCTTTGAAACAAGTCTGTTTTATTGCAACTTTAAAAATGGAAGTTGTTGCCCTACATTCAGGTGCCTTATTATTTGCTTTGAATCAATTCATTCCAGGTCAGAATTTCCTCCGGTTTACTATAGGTGATTGGCTTTAAGGTGGCTTTTTTAAAAATGTAAACTGTTTTGATCAATTTGTTAAGTTGCTGTAGCCAGCAATCATTTCACAGGTATGACCTTGCATTCCCTTTGCATTCCCTTGTGATTGTATCAATTGGGGGCATTTTATATTCAGGTTGGATTATGCATGGTTGGGTAGTGAAAGCTGCATCTGTCTGATGGTTTAAAAATAATAAAAGTTCCCTACAGAATTGTTACCTGAGTGTCTTTTTTTTTTTAGTTATTTTAAAGAATACGTAGTTAAAAGAAATAGCACCCAGCAACAGGTCAAGGTTGTAATTAGAAGTTGGTAACAAAATACATAATAGGAAGCCCATTAAATACTTCACTTAGGATAAATGCTTCTCCATTACTGTCAAAGATTGATTCAAGAAAAAGTAGTCCAGACAGTGTTGTGGTACCTGGTGGGTCACATAGAACGGAAGCCAAGGTTTCGGTTCAGTAGTCAGGACAGGCACCCCCTGGGGTATTGGGAGTCTCCGCTAAGTCCATCTCAACAGCAGCCATGGGGCTGTCCATTTAAAGTCGTGTTTCCCTTAGTGTCACCTCTGTGGTTACTATCTCCATGCCAGCTGTCACTTCCAGAGGTAGGTGGACTTGGCTGAGAACCCTACCTCGCTCCTGCAGGACCTTTCCTACCAGCCCGCCCCGGCTCCCCGCTCTGCTCTGCCTACAGCCCACCCTGTGTCCTGCCAGAGTGCCAGTAAGCCATGAACAGGCTAGAAATTAAACAAGACATTTAGCACTATGACCATTCAATTTGTCACAGAGACACCAAAGAGGGAGGACATGGGAGATGTGCAACTTGTTCAGTGAGCAATGCCAGCCAAATTGGTGGGAGCGGACAGCAAACTGCAAGCGCAGCCACGAGAGTGAAACACATGATCTCTGCCTCACACAATGGTCGGGGGCGAACAAGAAGTGAGGTGCTCCACAGAAATCAGAACTGATTTCAGAACTCCAAAACACTTCTGTTTTTACAGCACTTCACTTCTGCTTTTAGAAAACGTCCTCTTGTGGATGCAATTTCTTTAAAAGGGAATTGAAGTGACATTTACTATTGGTGTTTCTTGTACAGCAGAGAATGCAAACAGCAAGTAACAACTGAATACATTTCTAAAGACTATTTTGCTATCTTCAGTTGCATTCAACAATCTTTGTAATGTTGAAAAGGAATAAAAAATGATTAAAAAATAATTCGTTGGGCTGGGAAGGTGGCTCAGTGGTAGAGCGCTTGCTTCACATGCATGAGGCCCTGAGTTCGATTCCTCAGCACCCCATAAGCAGAAAAAGCCAGAAGTGGTGCCGTGGCTCAAGTGGTAGAGCGCTTGCCTTGAGCTGAAGGGCTGAGGGACAGCGCCCAGGCCCAGAGTTCAGGCCCCACAACCGACCCCCCCCCCCCCCCCCACACACACACAAAAACTCGTAGTGCAAGAAGTTTGGCTGTCGGGCTGGGAAGGTGGCTCAGTGGTAGAGCGCTTGCCTTACATGCATGAGGCCCTGGGTTCGATTCCATAGCACCACATAAACAGAAAAAGCCGGAAGTGGTGCTGTGGCTCAATTGGTAGAGCACTGGCCTTGAGCTGAAGAGCTGAGGGACAGTGCCCAGGCCCAGAGGTAAGGTCCACAACCGGCAAAAAAAAAGAAGTTTGGCTGTGAGTGCTCTGGAGACTTCTCTCCGCCAGGACCCCTCCTGCCCCTTGTCGCACTGATTCTGAGGTGGGTCTGGCTCTGCCCGGGTGGCCCAGCTCTCTATCCCTCCAGCTTGTTCTTCCCAGGCTGCTGGGGCTGGGTGGTAACTACAACATCTAGTGCTGTTTCCCCAGTAGCTGGGGTACCAGGTGTGCACCACGGTGCCCAGCTCGACAGGCACTTTGTGTCTGTGTGTGTGTGTGTCTGTGGTACGCGCACATGCACACACACATCTGCTAGTCCTTGGGTTGGAACTCAAACGAATTTGGCTGGTGGTGGTGTTGCCTGCCTGTAATCCCAGCACTCAGGAGGCTGCTTAGTAAAACTCCAGTGAAAAACACCAGGTGGAGGGTCACGGCGTGAGGCCGAAGGGCTGAGTGAGTCTCCAGTGCAAGAGAGCGCACTGACTGTCTATAAAATGCAAATGGCAAAAGTCATCAAGTGTACATAACACGGAAGAGCAGCATGACTCACTGTCAAAAGTTTCTTGTGTTTTGTGTGTGTGTCCTATTTGGGCTGGGGAAATGGCTGAAGTGGTAAAATGCATGTTTAAAGTAACGGGGTTCTGGGTTCAATCCTCAACACCACAAAAATAAACTGATTTATAAAAACAGCAAGAGAGAGAGTCAGGCACTGATGGCTCACTCACACCTGTAATCCTAGCTACTCAGGGACTGAGGATCGAAGTTCAAAGCCAGCCCCAGGCAGGAAAGTCCATGAAACTCATCACCAATAAACTACCCAGAAAAAAACTGAAGTGGCGCTGTGGCTTAAGTGGCACGGTACTAGCCTTGAGCACAAAGTGCTAGCAGGCCACAAGCTCAAGCCCCAGCAAAAGAAAGGGGGTGGAGGATCCGAGCAAATGGATGGAATGGAATAAAATAAATCTGGATCGGGACATAAGGCTCTATTTTTGTACTTAAACTTATAAAGTTGTAAAACTCCATGTACATCAAAGAATTGAAAAGATAATCTGTAATTTTCCATTCACATGAACCAAAAATTTTGATGACAATTGGATGCCATCTAGTGTCCAATTTCTGCAACTACGGGTAGTAGGAATTCCACCTCTTCGTTAAGATACTATGTATCTGGAAACGCCTTTTCATCCATTTCTTTGTGTCCACAACCTAAGGCTATGAAAAGAATAT